GGTCTTTACAGCCCAAGGGCAATCTGTGTTGATTATGGTAGACATTCTTCCTCCTTGGAAGAGATTGGTATTTCCAGCTCTTCTCCACGTCTTCAGAAAGCCCATCACGTCTTCAGAAAGCCTGTCATGTGTCTCCTGGCCTTCAAACCTGATCACTGTGCCATAGCCAATAAGTGACAAGTCCAACCAATCAAATAATGTATATAAAGTGTCTACTGTGTGCCCAATGTTACACTATATGTGATGGTACATACACTGAAGTACTGTAGGTGATCTTTTCCCTTAAGATGCTAATCATCTCCCTCTAAGGAGAAAGCTAATGCAAAAGCAAGCAAGTAGAAAATTGCATAGTACTGATTATTAAAGCTCAAAATAGTGACTACTTATTGAGCAGCTACTACATTCCAGGTACTTTAAATGTTTAAATGGAGCATCTCGGTTAGTTGTTCAGCAATGACAGGAGGCTCATGCTATTGTTATCCCCGTTCTACAAAAAAAAAAAAAAAAAGAAATGGAATCTGAGAGGTTAGGTAACTTGTGCCCAAGATCACATAGCCAGTAAGCAGTGAAGGAGGAATTTGGGCCTTGCTCTGGGTAACTGTAAAGCTTTCATTCTGTCAACTTGCTGACTTAAGAAATAGACAGGGGAGGCTTCCTGGAGGAGGTGGTAACTGACCTAGGCATTGAAAGGTGGGTAAGACAAAGATAACCCCAGGGGAGTAAGAGAATGGGCATATTCTACACAGAGGGAAGAGTCTGAGTCAAGCACAGAGGCATGACTGTGAAGTCTGCTTGCCGGTGGACCTGCTGGACGGGAGCAGAGGAGATTAAGTCAGGAAGGCAAGGTGGGGCCAAATGACACCACACATCAGCAGCTTACTCTCTCAGAAGGAAGAGGCTGCTTTTTGGCCTGTCATTGCCCCTAGAAAAGCACCTCATCCTTAAATCCAGGTAATCCACTCCAGAGAGCAACACATGGCTTCTTCCATTTACTTCCATCATTCTTCTCTATCTTAAGCATTGCCCCAAAGCCACCTTCCCTAGACACTGGGAAGCCCATTTCTGTCCTTTAGACCTTACCCATTACAGTAACTTCCACCTGCCTTCTGAACAGCTTTTGTGCACAACACACCCCTTTGTGAATTTCTTTCTTCTTCCCTTTCAGTTTTAACCTTTTCCAAAACAGGAAGTAAATATTTTTTCTAATAATCAGTCAGTCCTAAATTGCTACCTCTTCACTGGACCCCAAATGGATATAGGTGATTATGTCAGAGGTTATTTATATATAATTTCTGAATTTGTGATAACAGGGTCACAGTATCCATGATTAATATTTCTGGAGGCCTATGATTTGAGATTCGTAGGGACTCACATCAGTTTGAACTTCGGGAGAATGTACCTGCATATTCTAAGGAATCCTTGCCTTGCACAAAACAGTCAATACTGGGTGACTTAATTTGAACCCCCTCCCACAAGAAAACGCATCATATCTACTAGGAATAATTCCGTACTGTGGACACGCTTGGTGAACACTCCTAGTACGGAAACCTCAACGAGGCAATGAAAAGCAGTTCTGATGACAGTGGAAAATAAGGCAAGCTCCTGCCAAGTAAGTACTTTGCAAACAGTAAAAAAAAAAAGAACGTGTGAGCTCGTGAACAGGGTCTATCGGTGCATTTAGAAAATGTCTCACTGAACCCGAAATGGAGAATTGAGGCTCAACATCCGTCGCCGGGGTGAAGAGCGTCCCTTTAAGAAGAAATTGTACCAGCTGGCCGCACTACAGCTCCCAGAGATTTTCTGGCTGGCCTCCTGGTTCCACCCCTCAGTCTCAAGCCTCAGCAACGCGTGACGTCAGAGGAAGCTAAAGCTGCCGATTGGCTGAGCTACGCAGCTAGGTCAAGTCCAGTCAGAGGAAAGAAGTTTGTCTCCATGTGGAAACCATGTGTCTCTAGCTGGGAGGGGGAAGAGGAGGAGGCGGAGAAACTGAGATCAAGTGATTACAGGAGAATTGGCTGAAATGAAGGCGGGGAGGTTGTGCACCTGAGCCGGCCAGTAATGCCCTTTGCAGTAGTGACCTAAAAACAAAAGCAAAAACAAAAACAAAACCCTGCAAAACAAACAAAACTTGAGCCCCCCAGTCATAAAAATAATTTAAAAGCTAGGGTCCCTGCTTCCTTCCAAAAACCAGGGACCTGAGATGCTGGAATCCTATCGGAACGCCTCGATTCCCCTCCCTCCCCCAACAACCGAATGATGTAAGCGTTTCGGAAAGCGGGGCTCTGAAGCAAAACAAGCCCCGAGCGCGCGGAGCGACCCGCAGTGCCCGAGATCGGCGCACGCACGACCCGCCCCCCGACTCGCGTTATTGCTGTGCACACGCGGACTGCCGTGACGCGCGGGCATTGTGTGCAGCGAGCAGAAAACAACGGCGAGCGCCGCCAGCGCGGAGAAAAGCCCCCAATAAAACAAGGCAGACGTAGGACCCACTGTTTTCCGTACCGGGAGACCCAGACCAGGAGAAGAGGGGGAACCGAGAGTGAGGAAAATAAAGTGTCCCTCGTGGGCCGCTCCTGTTTGCAGGGGAGATAATAGAGGGCCCGGTGGATGGTAGCCCTTAGTTTGCTGGAGGTCACCCTTGCCTGCGGGAGCTGTTGGGAAGGGGGCGAGGGCCTAGAGCAGGGTCCTCGCAGTCCAACGGAGCACGGCACGGCGCCCCACGCTCTCGGGGAAATCTGGGGGCCGCTGGCATCACGTCATGCTGAGCCAAACAGCGGCGCCGAAAAGAAGCAAGAGAGCTAAAAATACTCCCGCGGAGCCGGCCGGAGGAGGGGGGCAGCTGGGCCGAGGGGCTGATGACGCACACGAAGTTGACTTTGACTGGGGCGCTGAGGTTCCCTAGCCCCTCTCGGGGGGCCTGAAGCGCGAACGCCTCGGGAAAGGGACCGGGAGGAAGCCCCTTGGCTTCCACAGTCTCGGGAATCCGGCTCCGCTGCTGCTGGCCCGCTCCGTGCGGGGCAGCCCGGCCCGGCGCGCCTGGCCCTCTGCTTACGTGACTGGTGGCCACGCCGGAGCCCCGGCACCGGGTAAACAAGGAGGTGGCGGCGGCCAAGGCGGCCGGAGGCGGGAGGGTGGGGGGCGGAGGTCTCTGATTGTCTGCGAAAGCTGGGAGTGGGGGGCGGGACGCGGTGGAAGCTCCAGCCGCCTCCTTAGTGCACCTCTCTGGGGCGGGGGTCTGGGGGGCAAACCAGGTTTGCCACACACTGCCAAGGTGCCCTCTCTGGGTGCATCCCCCGCCAGAGCCGGCGCCACGGGACAGACTCCGGGGTACCCGGGCAGGGAATAGCTAAAGAAATCACGCCCCTCCCCCCTCCAACAAAAGCAAACACACCAAACAAAACCACGTCTTCACCCAGCTCCCCAACAGCTATGGCTTTTCAGAAACTACCCTCCTGACGAATGCACATTCCCCACCCCCACACCCCCGCGTGAATAATTGCAAACTGATTCGGCTACACCGCCGGCGATGCGCCTTTCTCGCAACCCAGGCACTCCGAAAAAGCAGGAGAGAAGAAAAGAAAAGAACGCACCGCCGACCTCCCAACACAAATCCTTATTTTTGCCTTAAGCTACCGCACGATTTTGCTGCCATCACACAGCTACTTTAACCCTGAAGGCCTGGGATGTCGGTCAGCTAAGGTGTTTTTGTGTTTGAGGGTTGTTGTTGTTTGTTGGGGGAGGTTGCAAAATCTGACACGTTGCAATCGGACCATTACCCCCCCTCCCCCGTCCCCAACTCATTGATCTTCCTACTTGTTCGGACAGATTAAACAGTCTGCTTTTCTCTAGTCTTTCGGTCTGTCTGCCTCGGCCCCTTCCCTCTTCTCGCAGCTATTATTTGTGAGGACCGTGCTGGAGACACCGCACACGCGTGCCCCCGTTAGGGAGCTGAGTCGACTGCCTGGGGAGAATTGGGGGACCCAACCGGCAGGGCCAAAAATGAAACAAATATAAAAAGGAGGCCACGCTGGGGTGGGGCTCCCAGCACACCCCCACAATTCGTCTCTCTCCACCTGAATGGGGGGGGGAGCAGTATAAATCCACCAGGAAGGCATTTGCCTTTCTCGCCCAACGCGCTCAGTCGGGAGCCGTCTCCCGGAAAATAAAGAAACCGCACATAACAGCCCACACCTTCTTCCCCAACTATTGTTTCCTGCGAGATCCCAAAGTTTCCTTCTAGCTGTGTCCCCCTCGCCAAGTTTCCCAAGCGCAGGACGGCGAGTCGGGGCGAGCTGCTGGCCCTGCTTGGCTTTGCCAGCCTGTTTCTTTGTGGGGGGAGGGGGGGACAGGGGCACCCCAGGGCAATAGAGGCGCAAGGGAACTGTATCTGTGGACGCAGTGGCCTGAGTCCAGCCCTGCTGCGAGAGGAGAGGAAAAAGCAAAGTAGACAGGAGGGAGAAGCAGAGCCGAGTCAGCCAGAGCCCACGCCGTGGAGGGCTGTTTGGTTGTTATCGTTGTCTTGTGTGTCTGTGTGTTTTCTTTCTGGAGCCGCTGAGCTCTGCCTACGGTTTCCAACTTTCAGCTTCTAATCCCCACCCCACCCAGGAACGAGCGACAGAAAAACAACACTTGTCTGCCCGAGTAAGCTCCGGGAAAAAAAAAGGGAAGAAAGGCGACCTCGAAGAGATGAGCTCTCGGCTTAGTTGTCAGCATACAACAACACTCCCCCGCTCCTCGCCCCAGCGGTCCTCCCAGCCTCCCGGAGACCGACAGACGGACGCACCGACAGGCCCCCACCCCCACCCCACCCCCCGCTCGTCTTTGTTACATCTTTAGCAGCTTTGTGCGTGCGTGTCCTTTCTCCGGTGTCATCGGCTTTACTGCCGAGGGCTGGATGTGTGTGTTGGGGTGAGCGAGGGCCAGGCAGGCCACCGGGGTCGCCCAAGTCGGCGAGGAAGAAAGAGCCGGGCGCCCGGAGGAGCAGGGGCCCCCAAACTTACTTTTGTTTTCTTTCTCGATCTGCTCCAGGTAGCTAGCGGCCTCGAGCAGAATTTGCACGTTCTGCAGAAAAGTGTTGATGTGCTTCTCCATCGAGTTCTCGCTGGTGTTGAAAATGTCCGAGAAGGGGCACCTGAGCTTGGCCCCCGCTGGCTCCTCCGGCTGGGCCGGGGGCTGGGGCGCGGCCACTGCCGGGGGCGCGGCGGGGGCCAGACCCGCGCCCTCGCAGCGCGCCTCCTTGCGCGGCCGCCCGCGTTTGCCCATGGAGGGACCGGGGTCCGCCGAGCTCGTCCTCTTTTGGGGCTGCGCGGCCGGGCAGCTAAGGGCCCCAGGGGAGACCCGGCTGGCTGGAGCGAAGAAAGCGCCGAGGCGAGGAGGCGACCTGACTTCCTGAGCCTCGCTGCGTGCAGTTGTGTGTTCCAGTGTGTGTGAGTGTGTGTCGGTCTCGCTGTGGGTCTGTGTGTATGGGAGATTGAATGAACCTACAGGACAGACGGAGGCGCTCTGGCGCCTGGGTCCTAGTGCGAGGCTGTCACCATCGGACCGGTCAAAATAAAAGGTGGAGACAAGACAGGCAGGGACCGCCCCCTGCCTCTCCCCGCACCCTTCCCCGCCTCTCCCCAAATCTTAGCACAGTGTAGAGCGTTGTAATTTAACCCGAATAGAAAAAATATTCGGTGGTTCTGAGTGCACCTGCATAAAAACAAGCTGTTTTTCTTCTTCACAAAAAATAATACCAACGTCTGGCACATAGTAGGTTCCCAATAAATGGTAACCACCAAATCCCAGTTACAGATTTACTCACTCGTTCTTTCTCCCTTCAAATGCAAAGTTATTTTCCAGGAAGGGGGAGGAGATGTAAGCATCTCTCTCCACACTCTTCTTTCCAGCCTCAGTCCAGCTGTGCAAAGCTCACAGTAGGGTGCCTCCACACCTAGTTCCCTTTTATTTGACAGAAAGGCAGAAATGGCAGCCCAGGAACTCCCCCATCCCCCCCCCCCACCACTCCAGAGGAATTCCACCTTTTGGCTCTGAAGATTCCTACCCTAGTTGACATTGTTTTCACTGCTACTGCAGACCCTGCAGGAACCACAGATGTTTGCAGACCTGGGAAGTGTGGTGGGAGTCAGGACCCTTAGGAGTGCCATAGAGAAGGATTCAAGTGCCATCTTTACTTCATACGGACTGTGTGTGCCTGAGCAAGTCCTCTAACCTCTCTTGGCCTAGGTTTCCTCATCCGTGAAACCTCTGATAAGATTCACGTGCTGATTAAAAATATATCTGCACTTAGCACGCTGCCTGGCTCATGGTAAGATCGTTTTCTTCCAATATAGACCCAGACAAGAGCCCAAGTCCCCTACTTGCATCTAAGGGGGCTGGGGGGTGGTTAAGCTTCAGGAAACAAGACTTGCACTTTGTTGGAAAAAAATCTCTGCAATAAGCCTATCTAAATATTGTTACCTTGCAAAGCCACTTGGAATTTTCCTCCAGGGGAACAATTTACATAGAAGGCACAGTGAATGCTGCCCCCTGGAGTTGTGCGACCCAGCTACCCTGCTTAGAGACAGCTTCATACACATTTGTCTAGAAGACTTTTACTGGAAATGGAAACTTTCTGGAAAAAAGGGAGAAAGTACCTTTCTTTAGAAAACATGTAAAACAGTACACACAACCTCACGAAAGTCTTGTGTACTTTTAGACTATAATACCTGCTGATATGACAAGAACAATCAGTAACTGGCACTTTAAAGCCAATATCTTCACATTTTGGACCATAATATAATATACTACACATACTCTGTTCCATCTTGGGTGATCTTTGCATCCTTTGGCTAGGGTAGAGAAAAAGCTCCTAAAAGCTGTGAGAGAAAAGTTTACCTTCCAACAGTGTAGGAGGGTTCCCTTTTCTCCACACCCTTTCCACCATTTATCGTTCATGGACTTTTTAACGATGGCCATTCTGACTGGTGTGATGTGATACCTCATTGTAGTTTTGATTTGCATTTCTCTGATAATTAGCGATATTGAGCATTTTTTTCACGCACCTATTGGCCACTTGTATGTCTTCACAGGAGAATTGTTTGTTTAGGTCTTCTGCCCATTTTTGGATTGGGTTGTTTGTTTTGGGAATGTAGTTTGGTGAAGTCGTTATGGAAAACAGTATGGAGATTCCTCAAAAAAATTAAAAATAGACTTATATGATCCAGCAATCCCACTCCTGGGCATATATCCAGAGGGAACTCTACTTCGAAAAGATACATGCACCCCAATGTTCATAGCAGCACTATATACAATACCCAAGGCATGGAAACAACCCAGACGTCCATCAACAGATGACTGGGTAAAGAAGCTGTGGTATATTTATACAATGGACTACTACTCAGCCATAAAAATAAATAAAATAATGCCATTTGCAGCAACATGGATAGACCTAGAGATCAGTCTAAGTAAGCCAGAAAGAGAAAGAAAAATACCATATGATATCACTCATATGTGGGATCTAAAAAAAAGAAAAAAAAGAGGATACTAATGAACTCTTCTACAAAACAGAAACAGACTCACAGACACAGTAAACAATTTTATGGTTACCGGGAGAAAGAAGGTGGGAAGGGATAAATTTGGAGTTTGAGATTTGCAAATGTTAGCCACTATATAAAAAAATAGATTTAAAAAAAAATTTCTTCTGTATAGTATAAGGAACTATATTCAATATCTTGTAATAACCTGTAATAAAAAGAATATGAAAACAAATATATTTATATGCATGACTGGGACATTGTTCTGTACACCAGAAATTGGCACATTGTAAATGACTATACTTCAATAAAAATAAATAAATGAATGACTAAATAGATATGCAAATTTTTAAAAAGTTTACCTTCCATTATCAGCACAATTACTTACTATTTGTTCTGCTGGAGCCACTGTCTGAGTTACTCATGTTTTTAAGTCTAAGGACTTTAGGAAGTACAGTTTCAAACAAGTTTTATCCAATGCCATTTTGCAAAAACTGGGGCTTGTGTGAAACAGTCCTGATCTCCCTTGCCCCAAATGAAAGTTGATAGTGAGACAATGAACCACTTAAGCCCGAAGAAAACCTTGGTATATTTTTAATTCCCCAAGGGAGGCATGGGTCAAATGTGCACATATGCAGTACTGAGACCTACATATATGTATATACACACCCACCAAGATAGGCACACCCAACACATGAGTGCCAGGGCGGGGGTAGTGTATTTTGTCATTATTTATTTATCCGTGTTTCATCTCATAGGTCTGTGAGCTTCAGAAAGCCCAGTGGGAATCTTCAAGCTGGGCCACGGATCTGACCAAAGCCAAAATAAACAATGGCTTGAAGAAAATCTACAAAAAAGTGCTGATTTGCAGTATTCCCACAGTCAGCCACAGCCCCCACCATCATTCCCATGGAAAATATCACTGCTGGTGCCAAATCAAGTCTTCCCCCCATTATAGGAGCATTGTTTTTTGTTATTATGTGAGTTCTTAGCATCAGACAATGGCACCACAAGAGACACAGTGGAAGCAGAAGAAGTGCCTTTTTGTTTCACCAAGTCTATGCTATTGTGCCCCAGAATCTCACATACAGTCTAGTTGCATATATTCATTTTGATAACATGTCCGTGGAGCGATGAATGTGCCAGGCTAAAGCTCAAAGGCCCTTCCTTATTTTTTTCGGAGCCCATCAAGTGTTAAATCATGTTAGTGTCATATTGCTCCCCCTTCTCCTCCCTCACTATTAACTGATTTCTCTAATAAAGTTGGCCCTAACAGAAAGAGTGGTATTTCAGGGTTATATCATGGGACAGGCATTCAAGAAGCTGGGTTACAAGCTCAGCTCCATTCCCAATTAGCTTTGCTTCCCAGGAGGAGCTGTTCGAACCCTTTGCACCTCTTTCTCCAGTGCTTTGACTCCATTAAAAAAAAAAAAAAACAGGCCTCTTTGGAAACTTGCTGAGAATTTCTGCAGAGAACAGGTTTGGGCTGAGAAGGTGACCAGCCTGATAAAAACATGTGAATTCTTTAAAAGAAAAGCAGTGACTTTTCGTGATGCCCAATGAGGCCAGTGCTCCCAAGAGCCCTAGATGTCTTGGGTACCCACTCTGGGTCTTGTTTTCCCAATCTTCTGTTTCTTTGTTTGGCCTATTTGCTTGTCTGGTAATATTTTTCCATCCACCTTGTTTGCATATTAAAACAAAATCACTCTTTCTTTTATTTGCCCCTCTTTTCCCCCAGACGTTCTACACTCTTACATCAAAGGCAGAGGAGTTATTTCGCCTGTAATTATGTCTTCAGGTACACAGAGGCTGATTAATTACTGAGGCTGCGATATGAGAATTGCCCCCAGATCTCACCATCCTGCATTTGCATGGAATGCCCTTCCCCGTCCTGGACCACTTTGGCTCTCCTGGGCTCCTTAGCCCTGTTCTTCCTCCTTACCCATGCACCCCTCACTAGCCCTTTCTGCCTAAGTCCACCCTCCAACATCTAGCTTTTCCTTGGACCTTGTCAGCACAGCCAGGTCAGGTTCTTCTCTGCTCTTTGACCTGTGGTCTTTGTACTCAGGCTTGGAAAAAAACCTTCAAGAAATCTTCTGTCTTCTGCATTATCACTTGACTTCCAATCCTCAGAACTTTCCTAGCCACATTTTATCCTCAGCAGCTCTCCCTTTGGGAAGGTATTGTCTGGCAACGATCTGAGGAGATGCCTCAGGGCTCCGCTCCTTGGGAGCCTTTACCTTGCCTTCATCTATTAGAATCGAGAAGTGGCTTCAAGAAAAGCCCAGGAGTTGGGGATTAGGGACTGGTGAGACACGAGCAGAATGACAGGAATGAGGAGAACTGTGGACTCTTCCTCTCTTACTGACTCGGGGACAGGCTTCCTTCAACCACTCCCCTTGCCCCCACCCCCACCCATACAATCACCCTGGGTGTAGACATGGGCAGAGGACAAAGAGCCTCCGCCCACTGGAGCTCACCCGGATGTCACCTGCTCCTGGGCATTATCTCTGCTCCTCTGGACTCTGCCCTCCCTTCTCCTGGACCTCTGAGGCTGGCAGGCCCTTCCTGTCTCAGCCAGCTCCTGGGCTTCTCCTATGCAACGCCCAGTACTTACAGGTTTCATTAGACTATGAGCTCATCGAGGGCAGGGAGCATGCTTTGCTGCCCCAGCATTCCCAGTCCCTGGCACCCAGCACAGCACAAGAGTGGCACAAAAGAGAGGCGTAGGCCATGACAGTCAAACAGATAAATGCCCTTTCCTTGTCTGGCTGCAACCTTGGTGCTGGCCCTTCATGGCTTCCTTGCTCCAGCGTGGCAAGAAGAGGCATTTGATACTGTCTGCAAAACTATTCCTGAGTCATTCACATTAAAGTTTAAATATCAAAATGCTGCCTCTGTGGAGAAGCCAGAAACCCATTGAGCCAGATGGTTGAAGTTCCTGTCCCAAAAAGTGCAGAGGTCTTTCCGCCCCTTCCCCCTGTTCTTATTGCTCTACG